CGTTGATCGTGGCCCGATGGGTCTGGCCACGAAAGCTTCTCCCATCCCTGGAAGCTGCTCTCGCGTACTGCATCAGCGCATCTGTGGACTCCGCCAGCCGTACAGCTTCGAGAAATGATGTCGGGCGGCCCCTGCGAACCTCGTACTGTATCTCGTATTTAAGTCCGTTTACGTATTTATCCAACCGCTCCGCTTCCGACATATCGTCCACTTGGTCGGCGAGGCCCATAAATGACGCTGTGTAGTCTTGGACAGAAGCCATCTGCGACCATGCACGCAGCTTCATGCGAGCTTGCTCCGAGGCGGATACGTGCTCGAAGCGATCTCGCAAGGCTGCGCCCCACTCCTTCCACGTGCGAATCTTGGTCACCCCGAAGATAGGTTCTGCCATTTGATGAACCACTGTAGAGGTCCCGTCTGCCGCATGTGTCACACCTGTCGGCGTCCCTGTTTCCAAGGTTCGGCGCCACCATTCAAGCGCTGCCCCTCGAAGAAGCGAAACCGCGTAATTAATACGCGTGGCATCGTCGTTAACGCCGGCTGTTGTGAAGAAGACCTCGACACCGAACAGCCACCCCTTCACTGTAGTCGTCTTGTCCGTAGGATTAAACGGGGGCGGGTTGACGGGCTTGATCTTGATCGTCGTAACTGCAACTGGCGCTGCTGCCGCTCGCTGCCTGTCTTCTTCTTCGAAGTCACGTGTGAGCGCATCCAGCGGATTGCTCATCGCCTGACTGTTGCCCTCGCCTTCGTCCACAGGCGACGCCTGACGCGCTTCACCTCGCGTCTGGCGTAGCTCGGCGTTTTCCTCCTTCAGTGTTGTCACTTCCACCATTAGTGATTCCATGCCTCTCTGCATTTCTGCCACTTGCGCCATCAGCCGGTTAACAGCCTCCTGATCCATGTGCCTAGCACTACGTCTGGTGGGCAGTCGGGTACCCCGGCAAGTGAAAACACGAACTATCGGAGTCGGGCAGGATTGAATTAACAACCTCTGCAGCCAACCGTCGTGTAGTCACTAAACCAACCACACCCTATGCCACCAAACTACCCTCGAAAAGCGGGGTGAACTAGGAAAGTAGCTCTGATACCAGGTGTTATGAGTTGTAAAAGAGAGTGCGCAGGTAAACGAATAACGAGGCTGTGACTGAATGAACTGAGAATACAATGAATGCAAAGACTAATGTAGGCTAGCCTAGCTAGGAGGAAACCTCGGACGAGCGAGGTTGGGTGCAGGTTTGGCGATGGAAATGCCGAAGGCGACGCGGGGAGCCTCGGCAGCGTGGAAATCGCCCGAACGTGCGAACTCCGAAAATCGGGTTGTACGCGCAGCAGTCAACCCCGATAAGGAATTCGGGAAAATTCCTTACAGTCTGACCAAAGATGTGAACTGGCCGCAAATGGTAACCCTATTCTAGGCTATCAAGAAACGACACCCAGCATCAGAGTTTCGCTGTTAGCATTTGTGTTATATCTACTAGTGAAATGATGTGATAGTTTAACTTTTAGATTTGCATACACAAAATTCGAAAAAGGTGTAAATTAGTGATTCACACTGATGAAAACAAGTGGTTTCTGATATGGTACGAATTTTAAGAAGCGTTTTTTACGGTTACAGAAAGACCAATCCTTGTGAACCACCCTTACGAGAAAAAGTGATTCAAATTCTATCCTGATGCCTGGTTCCCGCCATCTGTACTCAATGCACTATTACCAGTCGCAACACTCGCATCCACTACTATTCCTCGCCACTGTTCACATCACGACCCAACCTCATGGTTCGGTTGGTAACCCGGGCTCCGGACCTCAGCCTCGGCAAAACTCAACCTCGGCACTAGGCTCGCAGCGCACCCCAATTTCTCGTGTTACCGTTACCACGCTAGCTTCGCTATATAATCTTCGCTCATTCATTCACTCATGTACTGTTTTGCTTCGATTGTGCAATTCTCGCTTGCTCGCTCAATTGCACTGATAAGAGAAGTCAAATCCTCATTCGTTCATGCCACTGTAAACACTGGGCCACAATTATTGTAAAGAACTTTTCGTAATTCCTTACTGGGTCACACTATACTCATACATCTCTGGTTTTTGGAGAACATGCTCGATCCAACAACCTCGCCCTTCGAACCACCACCGAGTCGCCTTCGGGTTTTCCAACCCTGAATCTGCACCCAACTATCTCGCAACTTCGCGATGTCGGCCTAACTAGCATTGCTAGATTAGTGCTAGGCCTCATTATTCGCTAAGTGGTTGTGATCACTTCCACGTGATTGCATTCTGCGCACTCTCTGTGTTTACAATTCATAACACTTAGTATCAAAGCTACTTTCCTAATTTATTCTAACGTTTTCGAGGTAGTTTGGACAAGATGAACGATAGACTTGGTGGGCTGCAAAGCTGTCGGCCTTTGAAATAGATACAATTATTTTATTCCAACTACGATAGAGTTTGTGCCTTCCTTAAAGTTATAAAAATCACTGTCAACCCCCCGCCCATTAGACGAAGTCTGAGAAACATGAATCAGGCCGAGTTTGACGCGTTCATATAACGTTTTCGGGCGATGCAGGCCAACTTGCAGATGATGTCCGGGGAGGTCGAACACATAAGGGAAGAAGACGCCGAACTATGCCAGGCTCGAAGTGGAGCGAACCAGGAGTCACCCGTCGTGGAGGAAGCAAGTAGTAGCTCCTCGCCAGACAAGCAGGTGTTTAATGAGCTGGAGGGCTGCATAGATGCTGACGGTATAAGGTGGGCACAACATCAACAGTCCCCGCAACAGTTGCGTGCAGTGCCGACACGTGAACCAGCGACAGCACCAGCGACGACATCAGTAGCGGCAACAGTTCTAGCGGTAGTGGCAGCTTTTGCAACTCTCAAGATTAAGCCGACAAACTCGCCCCCATTAAACCAGAGTGACAAATTTGTTACTGTTTCTGCATGGTTGTTTGGTGTGGAGGCGTTTTTTAACGTTGCAATGATTAACGATAATGCTACCCGCTTTAATTTCGCAGTATTACTGTTACGAGAACCTGGTGGCAACGAATGCGGCAAAGCGAGAGGACTTCGGCAGGGATTCCATGTGCGAACGACTGGACCTCGACACTAGTCACACAACGAGCAGCTTCGATTTTCGGGACGGCCATGATACGCACATGGAAGGAGTGGAGCGTCGCCTTGCGAGCTAGATTCGAGCACACATCCGCCACGGGTTCTGCCCGCATGAAGCTGCGTGCCTGGAAGCAGCTGACTTCGGTCCAAGACTACACAAGCACATTCTGCAACATGGCAGACCAATTAGACGACATCAGCGACGCCAAACGATTGGATTGTTAAGTAGCGGGCCCGAAGTAGGAGACGCAGTATGAGATCCGGCGAACGCGGCCACGCACATTCAAGGACGTTGTCCGAGAAGCCGGGTCAACGGAATGCGCCAATGCAATACGCGAGATCGAGCTCTCGAGAGGGCCCTCGATTTCGTGGATCGACTCAGCGGCCCATGATCAATAGTGTGGATGCACCAAGCTGATCCATCAGGCCGTGCTACGTATGCAACCAGATGGGCCACCTGATAGAAAACTTCCCAAATTTTAAGCAGGGGAAGAGGAACGATGGTAGTGTAAGGATTTTTTCGTAATTCCTTACTGGGTCACACTGTATGCGTACAACTTCGGTGGTTCAACGACCTCGCCCTCCGAACTGCATCGCTTCACATTCGGGTTTTCCAACCCCGAACCTGCACCCAACCACCTCGCGAATCTGCGGCCTAGCTATCACTGCTATATTAGTGCTGGGCCTCATTTTTCGCTCAGTATTTGTAATCACTTCCGCGTTATTGCATTCTCCGCACTCTCTTCATTTACAACTCATAACATCTATAGAAGAATATGCGTGGTCCATGTAGCCATGTAGAAACCAGTGTGCCTATTTATTCCCGCATTATTCCGAGCTGTGATCTTAGGGCACCGACCATGAATTCGCCACCAATAATTGCAGGGTCGTCGGTGCCTTGTGCCGTCGTGGCGTGTCGTCGTCACCAACTGAGATCGGTGCGAACTTCTTGTCGGTTGGTATGCTAGAGGCTTTGTCGCTAGCATTGCTACTGGGGCCCGATTCACCACCCGACCTCCTCGAACAACCCCACCTTCTCTGACATGTGTTTCCCTCCCCCATCCTTCAACCCGCTCTTCCGGTCCAACCACATCACATCCTCACAGAGAATACCCACCCATGTCGAGTATATTCTCGAAATATCCCGAGAATTCATGCGTTTTCCAACACCAAATCAAAATTCATGTAATGTAGCACACGGGCAGGAGCATAGTTGGCGTAAGATTCGAGATAGTGCTTTTGTGCGTGTGTTATTTGGGGTAGGCTTTGCGGGCAAGGGCAGGGATAACTGGCTAGCTGGGCAGTGCAACGCGGTTGTGTTGCGTCGCGTCGTGGTTATCGAGAGGAAGCCCCTCCTGACAAGTCACACGCGTCGCTCCCGACCCACCCAGCAAGCCCCACACCACCATTATACTGTATAGGACCCAAACCAGCCAGAAAGCCCCACCCCACCATTATATAGGGCACTCGCATCATCCCCAGGGCAAAACCGACTTGAGAAATCGTGCAGTTTTGTTCACAAGTTCACGAATTTACCAATGCATAGCAGCGCCAGTACCACTCAGATTGCTAGCGGTAGCAGCAGCACAGAACCCGATAATGAAGTTATTATCGCAGGCCGTTATCGCCGCGTGCGTCTCCTCGGAAAGGGCTCTCAAGCCACCGTGTGGGAGTGCGAAGACCTCCACAACCCCTCAGGCCCTCGCGTCGCATGCAAGTCCTTTTCCCGCCTTAAATCCTCCGCCAATCGCGCTATAATTAACGAGGTTCTCGCTTTGAAGAAGCTAAGAGGCCACTCGAATATCGTCGAGTTCATAGACTTGATAGTCGAGGCTGACGAGTGCCACGCTATTGTAGAGCTCGCGCCGGAAGGCGACCTGGTTCTCGAGATAATGGAGCGCGGTCCGATGGTAGACGAGGCGCAGGCGGTGAACCTCGCGCGGCAGCTCGCATCGGCCGTGGCGTTTTGTCACGCGAGCGGCATCGTGCATCGCGATATCAAGCCCGACAACGTGCTGGTCGTCATGCGTCCCGAGGACCGTCACCATCACCTCCCGTCGTCCCCTTCCGCTGATGACTTCGATCCGCTGGCCGTCGATTTCCCCTCGTCTCCCAAATCCACCCTGAAAGAAGCCGGGCCTCTCTCTTCCTCCTCGTTCTCCCCTTCCGCTTCTTCCTCCTCTTCGTCCTCGACCTTCTCCCCTTCAACTCCCTGCTCATCATCCCCCTCCTCGCCCACCATTACGACCAGCGGTTCCCGTCGTGGCGCGTCGCGGTCGCCGTGCTCCTTGGCGTCGTTCTGCCTGCTGGACTGGCTCTCTACCCCCGACGCAGCTCCCACTTCGGATAATTCCGAGTCTCCGTCCACCTCGCAGCACACGGATGACCACCGTGGGACCGTGAATGGAGGTGCCACCGCCGCCCACAACACTTCAGGAAATGAGAATGCGGGGGTGTCCGCGGATTTGGAGGTTGAATCGCCGCCGGCAGCACCTATGACGAGCGCACAGCGTCGTGAGCTGGTCGTGGGAGTGAAGCTGACTGACTTCGGCGGCTCTGCCGTGCTCAAGGGCGGGCTCGGCGGTGTGGTTAAAGGGCGGGGCGCGGGAACGCGCGGGTACATAGCGCCGGAGGTGATCACGGGACAGGCGTACGGGTGCAAGGCTGACGTGTACAGCCTCGGAATCACGTTTTCCACCATGCTGACGGGACATATTCCCGCCACGCCTGTGGACTTCTCCAAGCCCATCTGGGAGAACGTGCCAGAGGGCGCGAAGGATCTAATCCGTCAGATGCTTTACATGGACCCGAATCAACGGCTGAGCTCGTTCCAGGTGATGGAGCATCCGTGGCTGAATCAGCCAGAGGCGAGGCGTGCGGATGTCACTGCCAGGTATCCCAGCCTGCTGCAGCCTTCAGCAATGGTAAAGACAGAGATGGCGTACGGTCAGGGCAGTACCAGTAACCGCGGCAGCAGCGGGGTCAGTGGGAGGACGTGCTGCAGTGCTCAAAGAAATGCAGATTGCAGCCCTCCAATTGACTGCGAAGCAGCAGCCCCATGAGGGGATCCAGCACAGAAGCTGCTTGCAGCAGCTCATTGCTAAATAAGGGAAAAGCCCTCATCAGCCATCTTGGCTAGCTATAAGAAGCAAAGTGAGTTGCTCCTCGAAACCTAAGAGGAGCAGCAGGTGATGCCCACATCAGGCTGGGAGGGAGCCTGCTGGCCTGGCTGATTCTTGCTGTCACAGCAACGCTGTGGAGTTGTGAGCAGTTGCTCTCGCCATGCATCGGAAGAGCAACTGAGCACAACACTAACAGCTTCATATTCTTTGCTGCTGAGTTGAGTGCTGGCATTGAGAGTCAGCAGTGATTAGCAGGGTAGTTGTTGTAGTTGTCAGAGATAGCAACTGGTGTCTCACAAGGCATCCAGTCATTTGGATGTTTTAGGTAGTTCCGGAGTACAACTTGAAGTGCCATTCATTATCCTACTGTGAAGTTGTGTTTCGCAACAAATTGAGTGATGATCTACTGGTAACAGTCAAGAAATATCGACAAGAACGCACATGCTACTGAAGCCATCAGCAGCTGCATCTGTCACTGCACAACAGCCAAACCCCTCCCCACAAAATCCTCAGGAGGAACTACTACCCCAGCCAGTGCAGCAATTTATTTGAACGTGGGTTGCATGCGATCCTCGGGCAGCTCTTCCAGTGACGACCACCACGCACGCTCGTCCATAGACGCCCCCAGAAAGCTGCGCTTTCTCTTCTGCGGGGTTTCCGTGGTGCTAGACTCAACATAACCGAACGAGTCTTCAGGCACCCACACTCCAGACACGGGATCTGGCTTCCAGCACTGGATCTTCCTCGGTTTCACGGAAGGTGATGCTGATTGTAGCTCGTCGGTCTTAGAACTGCTGCCGGGGGGTGAAACGGCTGCGGCTGAAAAGGGTCTGCAGGAAGGGAAGAGACGCGGATGCAACAAAAACACGAGTCAGGAAAACATGGATCGGAACCACAGAGCAAGAATGAGTGAAGGGGAGAACGACTTAACGGGATGAGTTACTGGAAAGGGTGACAACGGACCGAAAATAGGAACCTCTGAATGGGAGGGATGGGGAGCACGTGGCGGAAAAGTACTGGCGACGGAGCCGAGTGAGTGAAAGAGATCGAGTGCGTGGATGATAGAAACGTTAGGGGCAGCCAAACCTACCGCGAGAAAGCGACGGCTGTAAACCCTTGGCGACGAGAAAGGTTGGACCCTAGCCGCCACATATCAACAGCCGCTCTCGCCATGACCCCGTGATACTACTGGGGTTCGACGAGCAGGCAGACGATGCCAAGACGCCGGAAGATCGGACTGGGCTCAATCAGACATCCCAACAATCGTTTACTTTAGTCGCCGTAATATAAATAGCTCTCGGAGTATGCCGAGAAAGGGCTGTCTGTGATGGGACAACAGCGCTGGTGACGGGGCGGAGTAGAAACTGGGGGCATATGGGAGATCGAGACAGGTGGCGGAGAAACCAATAGCGCTAGGGAACTGACGGATCGCGAAGCTGCTCGGCATGAACGCCATTGAGAACCCGTGATTGGTGCGTAGTGAAACCTGAGACGATAGCGCGGGTGTCAGCAGGGCTCTAAGTACATCAAATACACGTCAGAGGGGGGCCATCCCGGTCTTGTAAACGATGAGGTGGTCCCCACCAAGACGCGGTACAAGTGCATTATGCAACTCGGATGGAGCCGAGTTATAGTTTCCTTGTACAAAGCACGGTAACACAGTACGGTCCTAGTTCAGTCAATTCTTATTGACTTCAAAGAATTGAAACACACTCATGATGGAAACTACATAACGTCATGGGAAAGGCTAAAATAGTCCGGACCACATCAAATGTCACACGTGCCCCAAAAATGCAATACTTGTTACGAATAGTTATACTTGAATATTACTGTGCACTCCTCACCGCAGCAAAGAGAAGCACGCAGTATCGGGAATGAACGCGAAGCGTCAGACGGTTGAAAATGACTCGAAGCGTCAGACAGTTGGGACGCATCTGGACCGTCGGAAGCAGACGGCATCGGACAGCTGCAGGCAGGATGGATTTGGCGGGAACAGTTACGAAACTGTACGCGCCGCACGCTAGGTCGCTTCGTCTTCCCTGTACTCATATTTATATTTCTTGTATTTGCATGTTTTATTCATCTCAAAGCATTTTACATTCACTTTGCTATTGAGGTCAAGGGCCCACCAACATTACTTTCCTGCGTGCGAACCTTCCTGAGTAGATCCTAGGCCACGATCAACTTCTGATCGCAGCATGGTATGAGAGCGGCTCGGGAATCCTTCGCACTACCACTCCCGAAAATTGCGACATTCGGAAAGTGGCGTCCGGCACACGCTCGCGTGTGAAGATGGCCGGAGGATCTGGTGGTCAGACTAATCTGACGGCTGAAGCGCAACCCAATCCGGCTGCGACAAGCGAGAACACGACGACAATCGGCACCGAAGTTCTTGCACAACATCTTCAGCGACTCACCAACCTGGAGCAAGGGCTCCAAACATTGCGGAACGGCAACGCGGGTACCTCCTCGAAACCTTCTCAACCGGCCCCAACTGGCCAGAACGCCGCCCCGCACACATTCTCCCTCGACACCAATGGCTCAACCCCCAAGACTCCCCGTCCCAGTGAAGAGGCAATTCTCTCTGCTCAATCAAAGTTTCTGAGCATATCAAAAATAAAGACAAGTACCTGTTTTGACGGCAGAGACTTCTATACCTGGAGCTTCGAATTGGAGCTCTTGCTGCAGAACGCCCAAATCTTCCACTATTTCGACGGGAGCTACACGGAGCCTGCTGACGACACGGACGACGCCAGTGTCAAACTATATGTGCTGCATATTGTCTAGGCTGTAGTGGGGTAGCCCATATGGGGTACAACCCAATTAGGGTTTACTACTTGTACTCCTGCATCCTGTTAGTTCATTCATTCCTGCTGCTAGATTCTGACATGGTATCAGAGCACTAAGGTCCGTAGGACCGTTTTTTTTTTTCGGGCCCACCTACCGCTGCGGTTACCGCGCTACCCCACGTACCTGCCTGCCTTGCCTTGCCTTGTGACGTGCTGCACTATGCGCGCCGTCCAGCAGCCCTAGCGCTGCCTCCTGCTGCCCTAGGCCAGCGCGCTGCCCCTAGAGGCCCGTAAGGCCCACGCGCCGCCCCTAGAGGCCCGTAAGGCCCGCGCGCCGCCCCTAGAGGCCCGTAAGGCCCGCGCGCCGCCTCTACACGCCCGTCAGGCCCGCACACAGCCCCTGCAGACCGTTAAGCACGCTGCTGCCGCGCGCTGCCCGCACCGAGCCCGCGCAGCCCGCTGCAGCCGCGCGCAGCCCGCACAGAGCCCACGCAGCCCGCGCCGAGCCGCGCGCAGCCCGCACCGAGCCGCGCGCAGCCCGCAGCTGCCGCGCGCAGCCCGCGCCGAGCCCACGCAGCCCGCGTCGAGCCGCGCGCGGCCTGCTACGGCCTCGCGAGGCCCGCGCGCGGCCCGCAGCAGCCCGCGCCGAGCCGCGCGCGGCCTGCTACTGCCTCGCGCGGCCCGCGCGCGGCCCGCAACAGCCCGCGCCGAGCCGCGCGCGGCCCGCTACTGCCTAGCGCGGCCGCGCGCGGCCTGCAGCAGCTCAGCGCGCTGTCAGCGCAGCCCGCGCCGAGCCGCGCGCGGCCCTCTGCCTCGGCCCCGACCTGCCGCTGATGCGGCCCCGCCCTGCAGCTGCCACGGCCCCGACCTGCCGCTGATGCGGCCCCGCCCTGCAGCTGCCACGGCCCCGACCTGCCGCTGATGCGGCCCCGCCCTGCAGCTGCCACGGCCCCGACCTGCCGCTGACGCGGCCCCACCCTGCTACTGCCGCTAAAGTGGCCCCGCCCTGCAGCTGCTTCGGCCCTGCTCTGCAGCCGGTGTCGCCGCCCCGACGCCGCCGCTGTCGTGCGCCTACTCGGCCGCCGCCCGTTGAGCGCCGGCCCTGCTCGCCCGGTGAGCCCCTGCTCTCCCAGCCTTTGGTGAGCGCCTGCCTGCCTGCCTGACGGCCTGCCTGTCTGCCTGCCTGCCTGCCTGCCTGGCTGCCTGCCTGCCTGCCTGCCTGCGCGCCTGCCTGCCTGCCTGCCGGCCTGCCTGCCTGCCTGCCGGCCTGCCTGTCTGTCTGTCTGCCTGCCTGCCTGCCTGCCTGCCTGTCTGCCTGCCTGCCTGCCGGCCTGCCTGCCTGCCTGCCTGCCTGCTTGCCTGCCTGCCTGCCGCGCCTGCCCTGCCCGCGCTACTGCTGCTGCTACTGCTACTGGCGGTGGCCAGATGCAGCTCCAGCGACGTTCACGCGAGCCTCTCACGCCCCAGCAGCTTAGTGAGTGGTATACTAGCTGGGGTTGTCGCAGTAGCCGTCGTAGCTGTCGCCCTGGAGCTGGTCAGTTGGGAGCATCTGGCAGTGGCCAGCTGCAGCTGCAGGGGCGTCCACGTGAGACACTTACGCCCCGGCAGCTCCAGGAGTGGTACGCTCAGTGTAGCAGGTCTACGCGTACAGTTCGCTGCCCGTACGTCATTCGCACAGGTGCTAGGACTGGTCAGCCTTGTGGGACGCTTGGTCACACACAGTCCCGCTGCTTCGCCCGTCTGAGCGACGACTGGCGCACAGTGTTTGGCGACGAGGCTGAGCTCCCCACCTGGCTGGAGCTGCATAGACAGAGGGTAGATATCTTTGCGCTTGACTATGATGCTATTCTCACTGCCATGTATGCATTGCCTACTAGTGCTGACCGTGCCTGTTACCTGTGCGTACCGCCTGACCCTGGTGAGGCTGCTGCTCTAGGTGCTAGTGCGTCTCCTGCTCTAGGTGCTGGTGAGGCTGCTGCTCTCGGTGCTAGTACGTCTACTGCTCTAGGTACTGGTGAGGCCGCGGCTTCAGGTGCTGGTGAGTCTGTCAAACATTGCATGTTTATATTGTCTAGGCTGTAGTGGGTTACACCTTAGGGGGTACACAAAGTTAGGGTTTCCTACTTGTACCAAACTCTGTTCTAGTTCATTCATTCCTGCTCAGTTATTTCTGACATGGTTTCAGAGCAGGTCCTTCGCTAGGACTGTTCTTAGGGCCCACCGACTTACCTACCTGCTTACCTTCGCTTCTTTTCGGCCCCGATGGCCCCGTCGATCTAGCACGATCTAGCGGCCCTGCGGCCCCTTCGAATTTTTTTTAGCGGCCTCTCACGGCCCCCGTCGCGTCGCCCCTTAGCGCCCCGATCGGCCCCGTCACGCCGCCCGCGAACCGCACAGCGCGCCGCGCTCACAGCCCGCGAACCGCCCACGCACAGCCCGCGAACCGCCTGCGCAGCCCGCGACCAGCCCGCGCAGCCCGCGCACAGCCCGCGAACTGCCCGCGAGCAGCCCGCGACCTGCCCGCGAACCCCCGCGAGCCGCCCGCGACCCGCTTACGCAGCCCGCGCAGCCCGCGCTGAGCCTGCGCGGCTCGTGCGCTGACCGCCGCCGGCCCGCACGCTGCCCGCACTGCTCCCGGCCCGCCGCTGCCGAGCCCGCAGCCGCCCGCGCACCGCCTCTGCTGAGCCCGCAGCCGCCCGCGCACCGCCGCTGCTGCGCCCGCTGCCGCCCGCGCACCGCCGCTGCTGCGCCCGCTGCCGCCCGCGCACCACCGCTGCTGAGCCCGCCGCCGCCCGCGCACCGCCGCTGCTGCGCCCGCCGTCGCCCGCGAATCACCGCTGCTGAGCCCGCCCCTACTACGCCGGCTCTCGCTGCCGCCTGCTGCGCCTGTGCACCACTGCATTCCTACTACTACACTTTCTGCTACTACTGCTTGTGCGCCACTACAGTCCGTAGGCCCCACCGGCCCCGCTGACCCTGCGCACGCCTTTTCAGTGACTTTACTGCTTCTACTACTGCCGCTGTCGCTATGGCTAGTCCTCCTGTTCTAGCTTTCGACGCCGAGGGCCGTCCGGTCAAATTCGAAACCTGGCTAGATGACCTGCACCTTTTCCTACAGCTCACTGCCAAGGAAGATATTACACTGTACGACCACGCTCTCGGCCATGCGACCGCCCCACTCGCTACTGCCCCCCCAGCTGAGCGCTCACAGTGGCAGACCCGTGACGCGCACGCTCGCTTTGCTATTCGCAACTCCCTGCCGCTAGATGAGCGCGAGCACTTCGGCCAGTGCAAGACTGCTAAGGACCTCTACACAGCTGTAGTGGCCCGCTACTCCTCACCCGCTTCTGCCACACTAGGCCGCCTCACTCTCCCCTACCTGTTCCCCGACCTAGCCTCCTTTCACACTGTCGCAGACCTCATCACCCACCTTAAGACTAGTGAGGCTCGCTTTCGCGCTGCCATGCCTGATGAGTTCCTCGCTAGCAACCCCCCCCCGCTCTGGATCACTCTCTACCACGTTGTCACCCGCCTCCCTGACTCTCTGCGCCCTGTCAGGGACCAGTTCCTCTCTCGCTCCCCCACTGAGCTCACCATAGCCCTCCTCGAGAAGGAACTGCTTGCAGCCGAGGCTAGTATCGTCGCTGTAGGCACCTCTCGTGGCGAC